CTATCTTCTTTTCCAAACCTGTCTCCTGCTTCTCCTCCTTCTCCTCCTTCCTTTGTTTCTGTTAAGCCTTTGGATATTATAAATGAATTAATACTGAAGATCCCTGCCTGTTTTTTTTTTTTTTTTCATTCAGTCTTTTTCCTCCAAATAATCTCTCATAATGCTGCCTGACTAATTTTCCAGAGAAAAAACATTTCTTTCCTAGTGCTCTCCTGCTTGAACAATTTCCATTGCCTTGCCTCTGGAAAAAAGCTCAGAACTCCTTAATCTGCATCTAGAACTGACTATAGCTTGCCATTGAGACTTCTTTAAAAATGATTTTTAATTATACATTTTTCAAACATGGTGAAACTATAATAGATACTCACCTACCTTCCACTCAGATTACACCACAGTTAATATTTTCCCCATATTTGCTATGGTTCATTTTATGTAAATAAACATTATAGTCACTGGCAGGTCCCCACTTCTACTCTCCTCTCTCTTCCAGATATAAACATGCCCCTATTAGCTTTATCTCTCACTATTTACCTATAGGGACTGTTTGGCCCTCTTAGATTCACCTTCTCTCTTGAATCTCATCCTTCTTCCTTTTTCTTTGAGGTCCTGTTCACTTTCCACTTCTAGTGAGCTTTCCTATCACTTCCCTAGTTTCTAAATTATGATGCAAGTTATCATCTTCATTGCTTGCTTGGAGACAGCATTTTTCCTGTGACAGTGTTTATATAGCAGTTTTCTGTTAGCACGTGGTTTCTAGTTCTGTTACAGTGATTCTTTCATCTTGCTTTATATTATAGTTGATTGTCTACATGCATTTCTTCACCACTAGATAACAACTTCTTTGAAAATAAGATCTGAGCCTGAGGTACATTTTATTCACCAATTCATCTATTCTATAGATACTGACTGTCTACCAGTAAGTTTCAGGAATTATTTTAAGTACTGGGGATATAGGAGTGAACTAAACTGTTGTTAACATCATGGAACTTATATTCCAATGGGGTTGTTGTTTTGTTGTTGTTAGGTGTCATCAAGTCATCTCTGACTCATAGCTACCCTATGTACAGTATAATGAAACACTGCCTGGTCCCATGCCAGCTCCACGATCCTTGCTGTACCTGAGCCCATTGTTGTAGCCACTGTGTCAATTCATCTTGCTGAGGCCCTTCCCCTTTTTTGTTGACCATTCACTTTACCAAGAATGATATCCTTCTGCAGGATATGGTCCCTTCTGACAACATGACCAAGGTAGGTGAGATGAAGTCTGGCCATTCTTGCTTCCAAGGAGCATTCAGGCTGCACTTCTAGGACAGATTTGTTAGTTCTTTTAGAACTCCATGGAACTTTCAGCATTTTTCTCCAACACCACAATGTAGAAACATTGACTCTTCCTCAGTTTTCATTGTTCAGCTCTCACATGCATGTGAAGTGATTGAAAATACCATGGCGTGTGTTATATTCACTTTAGTTTTCAAGGAGATATCTTTGCTCTTCAGCGCTTGAAAGAGGTCTTTTGAAGCCAATTTGCCCAGTGTTATACATCAGTTAGGAGCTCTGGTGGTGTAGTGCCTAAGGCATTTTACTGCTAACCAGAAGGCTGGCAGTCCAAACCCATTAGCCACTCCTTGGAAGGAAGATTTGGGCAGTCTACTTCTGTAGTGATATTGCCTTAGAAACCCAAGGAGGGATCTTCATGAGTCACACCCAACTCGATGGCAGTGAGTTTGGTTTTTGGTTTTTTACACATCATCTGATATCCTGACTGCTGCTTCCGTGGATGTTGATTGTTTGTTGTTGTTGTTATTTGCCGTTGAGTCGGACCTGACTCATAGCAACCCCTCCTTGGGTTTCCAAGGCAGTATCATTACAGAAGTAGATTGCCCAACCTTCCTTCTGAGGAGTGGCTGTTGGGTTTGAGCCATCAGCCTTCTGGTTAGCAGTCAAATGCCTTATGCACTATGCTACCAGAGCTCCTGTGTTGATTGTAGAACCAAGTAATATGAAGTCTTTGACAACTTCAATCTTTTCCCTATTCACCGTGATGCTGCTTATTGGCCCAGTTATGATGGTTTTTGTTTTCTTTGTATTGAGGTATAATACATACTGCAGTCTTCAGTCTTCATCAGTAAGTGCTTCAAGTCATCCTCACTTTCAACAAGCAAAGTTATGTTGTCAGCATATCGCAGGTTGTTAATGAGTCTTCCTCCAATCCTAATGCCATGTTCTTGTTCATGTAGTCCAGGTTCTTGGATTATTTACTCAGCATACAAGTTGAGTAAGTATGGTAAGTATGGTAAAAGGATACAATGTTGATGCACTTCCTTCTTGATTTTGAACTATGCAGTATCTCCTTGTTCTGTTCAAATGACAACCTCCTGATGTACAGGTTCCTCATGAATACAATCAAGTGTTCTGGAATTCCTGTTCTTCTCAATGTTATCCATAATTTGTTATAATCCACACAATCAAATTCTTTTGCATACTCAATAAAACACAAGTAAATCTCTTTCTGATATTCTTTGCTTTGACCCAAGATCCATCTGACATCAGCAATGATATTCCTTGTTCCGTGTCCTCTTCTGAATCCAGCTTGCATTTCTGGAAGTTCTCTGTCAATATACTGCTGCAACCATTTTTGAATTATCTTCAGCAAGATTTTACTTGCATGAGATATTAATGATATTGTTTGATAATTTCCACATTCTGTGGGATCACCTTTCTTTGGAATGGGTACAAGGTACAAATATGGATCTCTTTCAGTCAGTTGGCCAGGTAGCTGTCTTCCAAATCTCTTGGCATAGCCGAGTGAGTGCCTCCAGTGCAGCATCTGTCTGTTGAAACATCTCAACTAGTATTCCATCAGTTCCTGGAGCCTTGTTTTTCGCCACTTCCTTCAGCGCAGCCTTGATTCTTCCTTCAGTACCATTGGTTCTTGATCATATGCTACCTCCTGAAATGGATGAACATTGACCAATTCTTTTTGGTACAATGAATCTGTGTATTCCTTTCATCTTCTTTTGATGTTTCTTGCATCATTCAATATATTGCCCATAGAATCTTTCAATATTGCAACTCGAGGCTTAATTTTTTTCTTCAGTTCTTTCAGCTTGAGAAATGCTGAGTGTGTTCTTCCCTTTTGGTTTATTAACTCCAGGTCTTTGTGTATTTCATTATAGTAATCGACTTTGTCTTCTCAAGCTGCTCTTCAAAATCTGTTCAGCTCTTTTATCTTGTCATTTCTTCTATTTGCTTTAGGTACTTTCCCTTAAGGGCATGTTTTGGAGTATTTTCTGACATCCGTTTTGGTCTTTTCTTCCTTTCTTGTCTTTTTAATGACCTTTTCTTTCTTCATGGATGATGTTCTTGATGTCATCCCACAGTTCCTCTGGTTTTCAGTCATTGGTGTTCCATGCATCAAATTTTTTTTAGATGATCTCTAAATTAAGGAGGGATAGTTTCAAGGCCTATTTTGGCTCTAGTGGACTTGTTTTAATTTTCTTCCACTTCAATTTGAACTTGCATATGAGTAATTGATGGTCTGTTCCACAATCAGCTCCTAGGATATCAGTCTTTATGTATTCCATTTCATTTTTGACAATTTCCAATTTTCCTAGATGCATTGTTTACACATTCCATGTTCTGCTTGTTAATGGATTTTTGTAGCTGTTTCTTCTCATTTTGAGTCATGCCATGTCAGCAAATGGAGGTCCTGAAAGCTCTAATCTATCCATATCATAGGAGCTCTGGTAGTATAGTGCCTAAGGCACTTGATTGCTAACCAGAAGGCTGGAGGTTCAAACCCACCAACCACTCCTCAGAAGGAAGATGGAGCAATCTACTTCCATAGTGATACTGCCTCGGAAACCCAAAGAGGGGTCACTATGAGTTGGGTCCGACTTGACGGCACATAACAACAACACAACAACATCCATATCATTAAGATTGATTCTACTATGATGAGGCAGCTCTTTCCCAATCATATTTTGAATGCCTTCCGACCTGAGGGGCTCATCTTCTGGCACTGTATCAGACAATGTTTCAAGGATATCATAAAGTTGTCCTGTAATGTATCAGTCAGTGTTTCCTTGCTATTTGTAAGGTTTTTTCTTGCCAATTGTTTGAGAAGTGGATGGCCTCTTCCGTCTGAGTCTGTCTCAGTCTAGAAGTTTCGTTGAAAACCATCCACCATGGGCAACCATGCTGGCATTTGAAACACTGGTGGCATAGCCTCCAGACTCACAGCAACATGCAAGCCCCCACAGTATGACAAACTGACAAACAAGTGTGTCTCCTTTAGCTGTTCCAACCCCCTTTTCTCACTTCCTGGCCTTCCCCCTTACTTGTATCTGGCTGTGGATCACTGGCTTCCAGCTTCCTGCCTGGATGCTCTCTCTCCCCTTTCCTGTATCCATTGGAGTGCAAGAGAGAAATTACATCAGTTAATGAAAATATCAAGTTTGAATAGTGCTAAAGAGAAAAGTGAAGCATGCAACAGCCTAAAGGGTAAGGGGATGCTATTTTAGATAAAACTTAAATATACGTATCTTCTATATACTCTACTTCAATTCTAAATGCAGAAGGCACTCAGTAAATATTTGTTGAATTGCACAGTGTAGTCATATACAGAATAGTTGATTACCTGCCTGGGAAATAGTACCCTGGGTAGACTATCCTTCTAGGAAGGTGCTTATAAGAACACCAGTTTTAATCCTTTGCTGCCAGGAGCCCATCTGCATTGTTCCTTCTCCCTGTTAGTAGATGTGCACTCTGAATTTTAATACTAGCTTCAGTAAAGCATAAATTGAGAGAAGAATCTACTTCCAAATACCTCATTAATTTCACATTCAAAAGAGATCAGTTTAGTACAATCTTTTCCACTGCTCTCCTTCAGCCATTTAGCATGTGGAAGGCTCCCTGTTCACAATGCTTCTATTCCTGTATGTGGTGGTATCAAGCTGTGGTACCCAGAAAGGTCAATGTTCTTTTTTTTTAAATTCTAGCCTCCAGGAAAGGATAAGAGCCCTCAGCTTGTGCCTTAAGGAAATCACTGCTAAGGTAAGTACTTTTATACTCCCATTTTAAAAATACATATTGAGCATTTTCTTTTGACTCAATGTCATGCCTAAATTACAGAATGCCCAACCTCAAGATGAGATGTGGACTTTGTAAAGCTGGGTGTGAGGGCAGCTCCTAGTGCTTGTGATGCTCACTTGCAATCATTCCAGAAATGGGTTGGTTTGGTCTTTGCTTCAGAAAGAGCTGTTATTTTAGAAAATGGGAAGGAACTAGTGCTATGCACAATTGAATGCCTTTGCTTAAAAAAGATTTTGGAGATGATGTAATTATAAGAAATTAAATTACCTTTCCTCCCAGGAAAGCAGGGTTCCAGTTCTTCACAAATAAGGAAGTGGTATAGTAAGTTATTGTTTTTGTTTTTAATAATTTTCATTTGACTTGAGAATCATTTTGCCTATTTTATTTATCATTCATACTTCCACATCAAGATCCTGTTTTATGTAGTGATAGGGCATTTCTTCTTTACTCTCTGAGAACATAGTCAAGGAAATTGTATAGTCAATGTCCTGGCTAGTTAGAATAACCTCAGTTAACAAAACAAAATCCCTTCATGATAGACATAGTTACAGCAGATTGAGTTATTGACAACTGTGAAGTAGGGTCTATTATTCTGAGTTTTTACATTTAGACTAAATATTTTAGCAGAGAATAGGGCACAACTCATGAATTATTTGCATTAGGTGTTTGAACCAATGTTTCCAAGATTAGGTGGTCAAATATAAAACGAACAGGTTGATAACCAGAGCATTAAGCAGCTGAGTACCCACTGGCCATCTCTTCCAGATCAGGAGGACATGCCAACTCTCTGCATATCACCGCAGCTAAGCTTAAATTAGGGGTGCATTATTGGAAAACATACGGACAATTTCTCTGGTTGTTTTCTCAGTTTTAGTGTTTTATACAATTCTGAAAACAACACTGAATGATTTTTGTAGAAATTGTAGAGCAGTAAGATTTTTTTTCCTATTAGAGAACTTTATCTTTTTGTTTTTTATGATCTCACTTTTATTATTAATTCATTTGTGATTTGAGTGAAAGTTTACAGAGCAAATTCACTTTCCATACAGCAATTCACATACACTTTGTCTCATGACATTGACTGTAATTTTTCACAATGCATCAGGTCCCCTCTCACTTCCTCCCCATAATTACCTTTTCCCTGTGTCCTTCCCTCCCATTCACTTTTGCCTGTCCACCACCCCCCAGCTGTCTCCCTGTGCATACACAGCCCTTCTATTTTCCCATCAGTGATCTCTCCATGGAGTGTATCTACCTAAAGTAAATGTTCAGCTCATATGCTTGTCTTTTGTTTGGCTGAAAGCCACAAGAGTGTGTTCAATTCCAGACCTGAAGGGCAGCTAGGGGCCATTGTCTCAGTGGTTCCACCAGGCTCTATAAGACCAGCAAACCTGGTCCTTTTTTTTCTGATGATTTAGAGTTTTGTTCCACATTATTCTTCCACTCTATCCAGGATCTCCTCCATTGTGGTTGACAGTGGTAGCTGGGCACTATCTACTTCTGGTCTCATAGTCACATAGGCTGAGGATTACATGGTGTACCAGTCACTTGGACTAATTGTTTCCATGCATCTTTGGTTTTCTTCATTCTTTTCTGCTCTGAATGAGGAGACTCATCATTGTGTCTAGATGGCTGCTTGCAAGCTTTTAAGATCCCAGTTGCTACTCACCAAAGTAGGATGTGGAACAATGTTTTTGTGTGGTATGTTATGCCAGTTGAGCTTGATATACCCTGTGGCTATGGTCCCAACTACTCGCTCCCTCTGAATAACTAGCTGACTGGGGCCAAGAAGTGACTATAACCTTGTCCCTTGTCATCTCTACTATCTACCTGGGAATTCTTACAGAATATATAAAAATACACTTGTAGAAACATTGTCTGCCAACCCTTTGCATGGTCATGGGGAAACTCCCCCTTGCATAGACATACCTAATAGTTCAACTTGTCCATCCATCTATCCACCCATATAGCAATGTTTGCCATCGCTGACAATATAGTACTGTATGTGCAAAAAGGTTCATCTGTACCTCCCATGCACCTCTGTATGTCTTGTTGTTTTTGTTATGTGCTGTCGAGTCAGACCCAACTCATAGTGACTCCTCCTTGGGTTTCTGAGGCAGTATCACTATGGAAGTAGATTGCCCAACATTCCTTCTGAGGAGTGGCTGATGGGTTTGAACTGCCAGCCTTCTGGTTAGCAGTCAAGTGCCTTATAACTAGAGACCTTTATCTTTACTGGGCAGTGAGCTTCGTGATTATCTTCCACCAGCATTGATGGGTTCCCTTGGCTCCAAGAGGACTTAGGGTTTTGTCACAGGAACAGGCTAGGTCTCAGGACAGCCTCTATACCACAAAGACTGTAGTTGTTGGTTGCCATCAATCTGACTCATGATGACTTCATGTGTTACAGAGCAGAACTGCTTCATTGTGTTATGGAGCAATTAATTTGATGGGGAATTTTACCCTGCATACAAGAACTTTTGATTAGGAATAAGAGTGAGCTTTGGTGTCAATAAGAGGGCATGGGCAGGGTCCTGGGAATGCTTGACACCTGTTCTGCTATCCCTGAGAGCTTCCCAAGAATGTTCACCCAGAGAGTAAGAGCATGATGAGGCTCAAAATGTCGCTTACTCAGAGTAGAGCCAGGAACAGTCTCCCCGTGCAGAACTTGGGTAAGGGGCTGTGATAGAGCAGGGCTTTTATCCCTTTCCTTCTCCACCCTAAAGTCTGCATCTTAGGAACTTGTTTGCCCTGCTCAACTGCAGGGACAAAGGAGACTGTCTTGGTTTATCTATTTTGTTATGTGAAGCAGAGAGCAGAGCCTGCATTTTTGCCTTAGAAGTTACAATGATGCTGCCAACAAGTGCTCATGGTCTTGCCAATTTCAATTACCCTGATCTTCAGACAGAGCCAGTGGGTAGCTGAGGAGAGACAAAAGCCCCTAGCTTTTTTTCTACTATAAATATGCGCCATTTATATTTTATCAGGTGTGGAATTAAAAAGTAGGAGAACTCTCTTGGGTTTGGGTTGATTGATATCTTTGGAATACACTGTGTATATAATATTAGTGAGTCTGTATAATTGGAGTGAATATACAGGTGTGTATATCACATAACATAGATGGTTTTTGTATGTGTGTGTATTTTATATGATACTCTATATTGTACACACACACACAAATACCCCATACACACACAATACTGGGATTTATTGATAATCTCCAGCTACTGTTAAAGATGTTTGGATTTGTCCAAATATCAAAAGTGGTTTGTTTTGTTTGCATGCCTTTTCTAATGCATTTATAAAAATATAATCATCTTGCATCTCCATGAGATTAAGGGACTCATGTCTTAGATTTTAAAATGTAAATATAAAGGCTCCATTTGATAATGAGTTACTCAGTGTTCAGATTTATTTGAAAACAAAAATATTTATTTGGAAAAATTTTCTGGGGTGTGCGTGTGTGTATCTAGGTAGGAATGTATGTGTGCATTTACATGAGTGAGAGAGGGAAAGAGGTAGAGAAGAGATACTGAGTTATAGTCTACAGAGAATTAGAACAAAACTATCAAATCATAAACACACACACACACACACACACACAGAACAGCTTTCTCTGCATTCTGGATTGATTGCTGACCTTGAGTTGAAAGACTTAGTTTGACTCAGCCTTCTTCCTTTATTAGATATTTAGATCTGAGAGATAGAACCTTCCTTTCATTCATTACATTCCTTTGAGTTTGGGTTACCCAAGCTAAAGGCCATTAAGGAATAAATGAGATGGAAGAAATAGTTGAAAATAAATGGGATATCTGGGGACTGGTAGATATTAGATTATACTCAGCAGTCATTGGAAGAATGTATATTGCAATTTAATAAGATTTATAAAGGTTGTTTCATATTAATAGTGACAGCTTGAAGGATAAATTTACTCAAGAAAGGAGAAATTGACTCAATTATAATTAGCAGATGTTATTAAATGAAATCAGAAATACTGGACATAAATTGGATTAGACATAAGAATTATGACTGGTATTACAGAGTTAACAGAAATGGCCTTGGTCTTCCAATGACATTCTCAGATGGATGGGATCGGATGGCCAGTCATCAGGTATTGAACCAATTTGAGATGTAGTGCTAGCAGGAAGGTGTCCAGAACATTTTCCTTTTAACTTCCAGTTCTGACACACTGACAAATCTCAGGACTGTTGAAAGTGTCTCAAAATTAATCATATTGGACATGTGGACACTTAACACCACTAGTGCAAGCTTTGGTTCAGAGGCTATGAAACTGTTGTCTTGATCGAGAGAGTGAGTTTTATAAAGAAATTTTGGGAAATTACAGCCACTTAATGGAAAAGAAGGAGTTTCCAAGTGGTATAAATGCTTAAGTGTTCTACTACTAGTCAAAAGGCTGATGGTTCAAATCCTTCTAGAGGTGTTTGGGATAGAGGTCTGTGATCTGCTTTTGAAAGTTTGCATCTTTGCAAACCTTGTGGAAGACTGTTCTACTCTACATATGGGCTTACCATGAGTCAGAATCAACTCGACAGCAACTAACAATAACAATGGAAAAGAAGAATAGTAGGGTGTTTTAGGCAGGGTGGGTGAGGTCTGCTTTGATTCTAAATATAATCTCAAGTTCAGTCTGAAATAAGCAAAACAATTAAAGTTGATCTAGATTAACTTTAGCAAGATCTAGATTCTTCTGGGGAAATTAAATTTTATCTTTTCTTTGGGTTTTGTAAACCATTTAGATTAATTTTAGTTCTTGGGTAGAGTTTCACGATTTTTAGCAAGAAAGGGGTGATGATTCTAGATAATATAATTTGTGGATCACTTCAAAATATCTTCATAGACATATTCATTCTTATTCAATCTCTGCTGTATGCTTTTGTTGAACTGGAAGTTTTTCTAGGTAGCTCATTAATCTGAGGTAAGATAACAATTGAATGTGAAGGCTTAGCCTAAACACAAGGAAAAAAAAATGATGTCTTAGTCCCCAAATAAAAGATAATATAAACTCATTTAGAAAAAGAAACTGATATTTAAGATTTTTGCTGTTTTTGAAGGTGCAAATAAAAACACAGGAAGCGCTTGAAATGTCATGAAAAAATAAATGGTAAAGCTGCAAACCTTATTAAAGATATATATCTGTATTTAAAATCTGACTTGCCAGCAAGTATCTACCCTCAAAATTTCACTGGACAGCATCTATCAGTAAATTAATTAAATTTAGTCTCTCTGATTTCAGTGGCCATTAATTCATTTATATATTTATTCACTGCTGCTATGCTAGGAACCAAGCACTAAGCAAAGTCCCTCCTCACATAGAGCTTGTATTTTAGTGGAGAGAGAGAAAATATAAAAGCAAATGAATAAATACAAACAGTGTATAAGTTGGAGAGGATGTTCTGGAACAAATACAGCAAGGTAAAATAATGAGGAGAGAGAGACCTGGGAAGTTAGTGGGCCTTTCTTGCCAGGTGACATTTGGGTGGAACCCTGAAGAAAGTGAGTACGTTGAGCCACCTGGAACAAGAGTATTCAGACTGGAGGAATAAGATTGCAAAGTCCCTGAGCAGGGAGAAAGTTGAGGTTATTTTAGTTTTGGTTACTCTGTATTGTTTTAGCATCATTATGTCAGTGTTGTGTTCTGGTGTGGCAGAAAGGTATAAAGACCTATGCTTGGAATATGGCAATACTTGCTCTATTTTAAGAAGCTTTGGTGGTATAGTGGTTTGGCTGGTAACCTGGTTCAAATTCACCACTGAAGAAAGATGAGATCGTCTGCTTCCATAAAGATGTGTAGCCTTGGGGTCACTATAAGTCGGAATTAACTTGATGGCGGTGAGTTTGGTTTTTGGTTTGCTTTATTTTATTCTTTCCTTTCCTTTCCTTCTCTTTATTATTGCATTGCTTTTAAATTAAAAAAAGTTATTGTGGTAATACATATATAACAAAACATTGTCATTTTAACCATTTTTAAGTGTACAATTTAGTGACATTAATTACATTCTCCATATTATAATAGCATCACCATTTTTCCTTTCCAAAATTTCCTCACCCCAAACAGAAACTTAGTACTCCTTAAGCAATAAGTCCCCATTGCCTCCTCCCACATGGGTGGGGTGAGGCCCACGTGACAAGAACCTGGGACTTTGTGCCAACAGCCATATTAATGAGATTGGAATTGAATCTTCCAGCCCCAGTCAAGTCCTGAGATGAAGCTACAGCATAAGTATATATA